AAGATATCCTTTATTTGTCCCACACTGGGGAAAATTTACAGTCTACAGCAGCAAAATTGGAGGGTAGAAAGAAGAAAAACAAAGTGTTTTCATGCAAAAAAATAAATGTTTCAGTATAAGTGCAATATAAATATAGATATAGATATGTAAATAGTGAATATAAATACAGATATATAAAAGCATATATGCAACTGATTTAAGGTGGTTGTGTAATTTACAATTACAGTCAAACCTTGGTTTTCGAATGTCTTGGTTCTCGACCAATTCGATTTTCGACCAAAAAATTCGAGTTTTTTTATGCCTCGGATGAACAAATTTCGGTTCTCGAACAAACTGAGTGCACTTGAATGCATCACTTCACTCCTCTCGGCTTCGCTTCCTCGTGTAGCGTCCATTGTGAGCAGACGTTTTTGTATTGTTCAATAAAGATTTTTTTAAAAAAGCAGACGTGTTTGGTGAGACGCTTCTCTCCTAGGGGGAGTGAAACGCCTTCTTTTCAGAATGGTTTGCCCCAGCAGCACGGGGGAAGTGCGTGCCTTTGTTGTTTGGCGGGCAGTTTTCAATACAGCGGCACATAATCACCCTGGTGTCCGGTGTCTCATTATTATGTAATAATCATACAGAAAAAGTTTCCTCATGTAGCGTCCATTGTGAGTAGACGAGTTTGTATTGTTCAATAAAGATTTTTTTTTTTTTTTAAAAAGCAGACGTGTTTGGTGAGAACTACGTAATATCGGACTGTTATTTTTGCATCGTGCATCAGCCCCTAATCATAGCACCAAAGAAAGCAAGTGGAAGTGGTAAATGTCATGATGGTCAGCAGGCAAGGTTCACGTTTTATGTGACTTTTAAAAACAATGTGGCAGAGCAGTAAAACATGCAGTGTGCTCATTCAAACAGTTACTTCCTGAAATTCCCCCTTATAGGCGGGATCTGTCGATTAACTGGAATATGACGTACACAGTGCAAACTTTCATAAAGCACTACTCATATAATAATAGCCTATTATGTGACAGTAAACCTGGTGAAGAAAAGAGGACAATAGTGTGCAAAACTATAGAATTTAAGAAAGATTTGATCGCGAAATATGAGTCAGGTGTGCGTGTGTCTGTGTTGGCTAAGGAGTTCGGGATGCCGAAATCCACCATCAGCAGCATCCTAAAAACGAAAGACCATCTCCTCGATGACAGCTGAGATAGGCGCACGCCTCTCGACAGAAAGAGAGAGAGATGTTCCTTCAATTTTTATGTTACAATGTTAATGTTAAAATTGGTGAAAATAAAACATTACAGTTTGTTTGTACAGTATTGTACATATTACCTGCTCTCCTATTACATGTGTACAGTTTATGGTGTAAAATTGTAAAAACAGTGGTTTAAAAAAAGTTTTCTTGACTTGGAACGGATTAAAAATTTTTACATTGATTCCAATGGGAAACATGGTTTCTGTTTTCGAACAATTCGGTTTTCGAACAGCCCTCTGGAACGGATTATGGACGAAAACCGAAGTTTGACTGTATCACTGGTTTTCACGTGTTCTATTTTTTATTCAGCAGCCTGACAGCAGTCGGTAGGAACAAGCGGCAGTTTCTCTCCTTCTTGCAGCGCTGGTGTAACAATGAATTAATTTAATTTTAAATTTAAATTTAATTAAAATTTCTGAAATTCTCAAGCCTGCTACTTAATTATTTAAATTTTTGCAACATTTATAATTGTATGTACAGTAAATATTCCCATCCCCAGAATTCTAGGAAAAGGAATATCCTTCACCCGTAATAAAAACCTATGCATTAACATTTTGACTACAATATTACGTGTTACTGGAACTTATGTAAGCGGAAATTCCACTCGCCGTAACCTGGATGGGGGCGTAATGCCGCGGGAGCTTAAATACACGCAACGGCCACCCGATGCGACGGAAAAGACACAACGCTGAGACACGTTTTCACTTCGCGTTTTTCGATCATCAGATTCGAAACGACGACGTGTAAGTGAGTTTTTATTGGCGTGCATTTTACTGTTATTGTGAATGATTTTAACTTTATTCACTTAACGTCCTGTAGAAGGCGGCACTAGCTTAAAAGCAGCACCCACTCGACACGACAGAAGAAACGTGTTTGCTTCGCCGTTTTCATTCATCAGATTCGAAACGATGACATGTAAGTGACTTCTTATTGGCATGCGTTTTACTGTAATTGCGGAAGATTTTAACTTTATTCACTTGCGTCCTGTAGATCATGGCATCGAAACGTAGAAGAACTGTAATGACTGTAGCGGAGCGAGTGAAATGCATCCGTTTGAGCAAGGCTGGACGCAAAGTAAAAAGCATCCAGGAGACACTTGGAGTCGGAAAGATGCAAATCTACGAAACTTTAAAAAACAAGGCATCGATTCAACTCCTGATGGCAAGCCACCATCCAGCAAGGAAGCAATGCAAATGGCAACAAAAATCCTTCAGTATGCACAACAATCACCAGACATCGGTGATCAACGGGACAGTTACTTGCAACCAGCAAGAAAACTGTATGACACGCAGGCAAACATTGTCATAAACCAAAGAATGCATCCAA